TACTTCGCCTTTCAAAAAAGTTCAGAAGCAAGCCTTTTCAGACGAGTGCGAGTTGAGAGTTACTTCATTCGTGTCAGTTCAGTGCTCCCATGAGTACATATAACGTGATTCACTTCTGAATTTGGCACATTTCTGCTCGTATTTTTCCATCAATGGATGGCGGGGGTAATGGAAGCACTAACGAGTAATTTAATATCAACCTGGGATTGAGCATTGCTTCTGAAGGCCCAACATGGAATGGGAAAATCTTTCTTGTCGAGGCTACTCAGAGTGAAAGAGCGAAGATGTAAATAGTGGTTGGCCAAATTAGTAATTACCCGAATGGGCAGTGAAACTTTCTGGGTAGGGTTTGTTAGACTTGCGGCCTCAACCCCCTAATGACGCAGACTGCCTGACAATATCTAGGATGGGATCCTTCGCTATCCGTTCTCAACTATAACTTTCTTCACCAGGGATCCCCCTTCACAATTGTGACTACTCACGTTAATCCACCTCTTTCAATCATTCCCATTAAAAATTTTATTCATACGCTTGGTCCCATGGTCTTCGCCCAAGCCTAGGACGGCATAGGTTACAGTAGGCGTTAGGCGAAGGTAGTACAATTATAGGCCGAAATATCAACTAATAGCAATTTTTTTTTTACCATGAGGGCCAATTGGCTTTCTATTGACGCGTGTGAGGGAAGCACTTAGATTGGATTTGATCGGCCTTCTCAAAACCTTGCCAAACTTCCTTTTCTTTGGAAGCAGCACTATGAAAGGGATGGATTTCAGTGGCAGTCTCTTAAAATGAAAAGATCCTGTTCCCTAGGATTTCTTTTTCACGAACAAATCACCTCCAGCAGGACCGTTTGGCCTAACCAACCGCTTCCCTCCCCTGGAGAGAGACATCTGCCCCGGCACGACTGTTCTCATCCTGCTGTTTCTCTGCCATCGCATCTGACGCTCCCCGCATCTGGGATTCTTCCCGAAAGGACCCACTTCTTTCTCTGCATTTCCATCGGTATGGCTCTTTCAACAAAGTTATAACATCCTGATTTTTATCTGAGCCAGCGAGAAGACTGACCAAATGGACACCACTTCTTGACTTGGTCTTGCTGTTGGGAGACGGAGTTTTGCCTTGGAGCGCTGGTGCTTGGTCCTGGTAACCTTCACTCTTACGTTCAGGCTGAGTGCCCGGTCCACTTATTCTCCCTGAGAAACATTATTTGATTGTTCCAACTGTTTGAATTCTTTGTGGATGGCCGAGCGCCGAGTAACTATTGAATCCTCTGTAGATGGCCGAGCGCCGAAAAAAATGCTGAATTTTATGTAGGAGGCCGAGTGCCGATGTAGTCCTCAGTGCGTTAGGCCCTAAGTGAACTTTATGTAGAAGGCCGAGCGCCTGTTGCCGGTACCTGAACTGTCAGAAGTCAATTCCCGAGCACTCCCTATAGTTACTGTGTTGTGATGTTGGAATAGAGGAANGACGCGTGCTCTCGTCTCTCCTCTGCCGTCTCACGCCGTGGTCGGTCGCTCGCTTTCTTCGTCTATCCCCGGCGGTCTCGCTTGGCAGCCCAACAATGACAGTAACAGTCCTCAAGTCCTCCTCAACACCTCCAATCCATTATCGTGATATTTCCTTTATTTCTTAATTAAATACTTGTCGTTGTTGTTTGAACGCCGTTTTATTATTTGTCTCCTTAGACGGCATGTCCTGTCAAACGGAGGCCAAAGGAAGGGTCCGGCCTCTTTACACTAACCGCTCGTGCTAAATTATATTTCCCTTGCTTTCGGCCTAAAGTTAACGTTAAAAGTTCACTTTTAAGGCTCTCCACACGACAAAATGACATTAATGGTTCACTTCTTGCAGAAAACCATAATTGAATCTTTCGTCGTGTCTCATTGCGAGTACCAGAGTTAAAATCAGTTTCATCGACCTGGGAACAAGAGTGTATTTTTCGTTAATTGTAACGGGTTCCAGCGCTGAGTTACACAAGGATTACTAATTTTTTATTTGCATTCTGCTTGCCACGTGGGCACTGAACCCCTGGGCCCGCAACCTTTACTCTCCATTTAAACCCAAAGCCATCCACGCCGTTGCATGCCAAACACGGCTCTAAAAGATAACCATTGCATTGATAACCATTGCGGGGATATGATGATGCTCAGACGAGAAATCACCGTGCAATAGCAGAAAACATTCGAGAAGCTGCGGAAACCGCAGGAGTCCTCGAGCGAGAAGGCATGAGAAGTGAATTGGCAATAATCCCCGTCGCTGCCGATGAAGGTGATCGCCTGTCCATGCCAAAACCGCCATTTCTCAGCTATTCTCCCAACTTATACGAGACAGTTCGCTTTCCCCACCCCTCCTCTGCTTTGTCCTTGGTGTCCTATGGGTCAGACGTTTGAAATGAAGCATATGATCTTCATGTGCACACTATTCCACCGTTACCTTAGAGATAAGTCATAGACTAATATGTAAGGGAATGGAGTATCTCAGAACTCACTATGAATGATAGATTTGGAATCGTGTTAAAGCTGTGAAACCCCCTCCTTAATGGATGCCTCTGAGGAAGGGCCCTGCCTTGTCGTTGAGAACCACATCCACAGAGTCCCTTCAATTCAAGGCAAAGCGTTCGATCGCGTGATCGACTTCGACCTTTCTCTTAAATATGACGTCCTTACACTCAGTAGGTAATCAGAGAACACGATCGCATGCGATCCTCCTGATACCATGCACCCACTCATCTTGGAGTCATTTGGTGCTTTAATTTCTCATGAACAGAGNATGCGATCCTCCTGATACCATGCACCCACTCATCTTGGAGTCATTTGGTGCTTTAATTTCTCATGAACAGAGCTCAAGAATGGTTTAATCATCTCTCGCCAGAGTTAATTTTATAAAGCGGACATATGTTAAATCTATTTCATCAATGGCGAAGGAGTTCACAATTGAAATACTTTTTACGCCAGCTCAGTTTCTCCACATCCGACACGGAATTTATCGATGAACTGTGCCTTGCGAGCCCTACCTGTTGAACGGGTCAGGTCAATCGGACCGAGTCACAGTTTATAATGGAACCATATCCCATATTTTGCCCAAAAACCCGATTGTCATCCGAGTAAATGCGCCCGATCTGCGAGTTTTATGGGTTCAAATTTCCTCTATACCAATCTCACTCTAACTCGTCTTCTTATTGATACTTGGACTTGTACACGTTAGTTGCAGAAGCAAACGGGTGGAGTGAGGCGCAGAAGAGAAATTATTTCATCTTCTGCTTTGCAGAAGGATCTGCCTTTCAGATGGTTTGTTTTGAATGCCATTGGATCATTTGAGGAATCGAAGGCCATTTTTACAACACACGAGAGTCACACCGGATTTGGTGAATACGATGCAAGGATTTTTTGCGATGGTGAGAAGGTGGAAGAATGCGAAAGATCTCTCAGACACTTGTACCGGGTCGTCATAGGTCCAAATCCCGAAGAGCACAAACAATACTTGCGAAAATTTGAAGCAGGGCTTCCCCAGCGTTGGCGGGGAAAAATCAACGAGCACCCTATGCCCTAGCTCATGCCCAACCTTGGACTGAAATACCCCACGAATGTCATCGTTCGAGAGGTTGGGGTTGCTCCAAACACTGGGAATTTCTGCATGTCGGGGCGCATCGTGGTAGTAGACAACAAGAGGAAATACAACCGCGGTCGCCTTCGACCTACCCGGTGGGAGGGGTCGAGAGGGGAACCAGCCGCAGCTCTTTGGTAAGAGTAACAAAACCGGAACGCGGAGATTTTGCGAGAAATCCTTCGGGCAAACGTTCCTCTAGGGAATGCCGTCAAGACCGACACTTGGGGGGCATACATTCGCTTCGTGCGAAATGATCCTTGAATCATACGCGGAACATCGAGGCGTATAGGTCCTTCGTCAAAAGAGACAAGCGCCGACACGTCGGCCGCACGAGTGGCCAGACGTGCGTAACCGACTCGATCGAGTTGGTCGCTCGCGCGTCGGACCAAAGCCGACGGAACAAAATCTGCAGATGGATTTCAATGCCGCATCCTGTCCCAACTTATGGTCATTTTCAAAGTCAAAATGCTAAAATAATATAATGACGCCATGCACAAGGCTCGCACACCCGCCGTCTTTGCAGATGTTATCATGGCGGAGCGCGTGTTCACATTACACTTTTAATCACGGCTTGCATACATTGCATGAGCAGGGGCTGCGGCATCGCGTGCACCTCAAATTGGGTTGTTCGTCTGGTGTTTCATATCATTGGAAACATAGAAAATGAATCGTAGCATTTTTATCACACAAAAAAATATGTTTGCGTATGATTAATCGGTTTACATTAAAGTCTACCCTTTCGCCACGGGTAGCCACCTTTACGAAGAAGAAACGACATCCTTGACTTGAAGGTTACATATTGCGATCTGGAATAAACTGTGAATGAATACAAGTTTATTACGCGTATAGAAAATACTACAAGATCCCTGGCCACTTCGGCATAACTTTACGAAGAAGAAACGACATCCTTGACTTGAAGGTTACATATTGCGATCTGGAATAAACTGCGAATAAATACAAGTTTACTACACGTATAGAAAATACTACAAGATCCCTTGCCACTTCGGCATACGTTTCAGTCGTAGCAAAACACTACACTTAAAATAACTGAGAATTATGACCGAGTGGGTACGTACAAACCAAAATGATACGGTATAATGTTGAAGAATGCGTAACGGTCGTAGTGTGCAGTTGGGTGGCTTATACTGTTGTCGTTATCCGATATTACTGCACTCTACTTCGCCATCTTTCCTTGAGATGTTGCTGTCGATTCCATGCGGAAGGCGAAGCTAATTCTACGAGTCAAACGCCAGACTCGACGGAACACATTGCTTACAAACCGAAGCGCTTTGAAATGATTCTGTAATTCTACAAGCAGGGGGAATAAAGGTTTAGTACAGAAACGAAATGCGAAAAGGAAACTTGTGAATATAGAGACAGCATTTGAAATACAATTACTTCGGCAGAGGTACTTGCTCCGTCTCACAGAACGGCCTTGGAACACGACTCCAAAATCGATCACTCCTTCGAGCTCGAGTCCCTGCAAAGAGGAGGCCTGCGTGATCGAGACCGAACACCATGTTATACATATATAAATACATAGATAAATCCCTGGACGAGTGAATGAAAACAGTACTGTGGCCTTTCAACTTGTTCAAAACTGACCAACCGCATCCCCGTAACTAGAATATTGGCACCATTTCGTCGACTTCTCTACTCGTGCAATCGTCTCCCTCGCCGCATCCTAACCATCCACCTTTAACGCAAAGCGTAGATTAAAGCAGCCATTCGTACAGCGTGGGCCTACGTCAACGATCCCGGAGAAAGGATGAGAGTTAAGGGTAGGATGCTCGATGTGGCATTTCCAAAGTCCGTCCTGCTACCCAGACCACGTTGTCGCGAGGGGCTGCTAAACCACTTTCACTCCTATGGATCTGTTAAATGTTAGGTGAATGAAGGAAGTGGTAATTTTATCGGTTGGCTGGCACCCTGACCCAGATTGGAGGTTGCACATGCGCACTGAGTCCATTTTGCCTGATTTTTTTGGAATCTGCAAACGGACTGAACGAAAAAGAGCTGCCACGTTCCCATCGTACCCAGGGCAACGACAGATACTCAACCTCTTTTACGAGGAAATCTCGAACTCGTGACGTTCCAGAGATCCAACGATGACACTGACCTGACAGTGTGGCCGGTTGAGATGGTTGGCACCAAAAAGTCCAAGGAGTACTGCAGAGTTCCGTTATTTGGACGAGCTTGGATTCCCAAGAGGTGACAGAGCAAAGGGTACACATCGATATTGTTGAAAACGAAATCCTCGGGAGATACGTATCCCTTCTTGAATGCCGGGCCGTAGGCGACAAAGTAAAGCATTTCGACAAAGGCGACGAAGCATTTCGGGAAAGGAATTGTTGTATCCGTGGACCCCGATCATCTCGTTCCTCGGGTCTGGTCACGAACAAAATACTCGATATACGGCCTAGAAACATAAGGGCTCATTGGTGTCATCGAGGGAAAAGAAACCTTTGGGGGTAGTATTCAGCAACCAGGCATCATCACTGAAAGTATATCCTTTGTCCGCAACTATGAAAAATGGTGGGGAATGTGGTGTGGGTCCGTAATGCCATTCCTCGGGACTGTTTTCCGTTTCGTACACTGTGAATGGTTCCGTCATGGATGCAGTGAGGAATCCCTGATAAACTTCCTCCTCTTTCCCTGCCATGTGGACGACAAAAGAGAACGTTTTCATCGTGAAAGGGAGGGGAGGAGTGCAGCGACCTACCTTCCAGCGGATAGATGAGCACTAGGGGAGAGTTGGTGGCATGCCAGTAATCACTGGGAGGGACGGGGATGGAGTCGAGGTGTAACGCCATGCTGCGATTCACTCCCAGCATCCC